GGGGACCGGGGGGGGGGGGGCACCGTCGGTCGCCTCGGCGGGGGCGGCTGTCAGCCCCGCTTCCCCAGAACCGGCCGCTGGGAAGGGGTCGCAGCGCCTCGCTGCTCCCCACCCCGCGGCAGATACCGAGGGCTGGGGTGGGGAGGGGTAGAAGGAGGCAACGAAATCGGGCCGCTGTCTTCGCAACGCGTCACGGTCTTGTCACGCAGTTACCGGGGGAATCACAAGCTTCAGTCGTGGAGAGACAAAGGTTTCAAACTCGATGTTGAGAAAGTCAAAAGATAACGTTAGCGTTTAGGAACGGATGTAAACCTGCAGCTTGGGGTAAAACACTTCAGAAAACCCAAGTGCAGAGCCAGGCCTGCTTAGGCATGAATAAGATATGAAAACTCCGGGGAATCTCTGTGCTTCTAAATGAAGGCCAGTTTGTGCGGCGTGCCGCCTGCCAGCTCAAGAGGGCATCTCGGCCCTGAATCTCACCTAACGAACTAGGAGTAATGCCCCTCAAATGAAGGTTACTCTGCCCCCATTCCTCCCTCAAGCCTCCTAATGACATCTTCCCCCAGCCCTGAACCTTCGGAAGACTTCAGGCAATCTCTTGTGATTCCCAGAGGCTCTGAGTCGTAGCAGTACAGTTCCCTAAAAAGGTCTGTCTGGTAGCGAGTGCAGCGAGGATGGATTTCATAGAGCTACGTATTATCCTTGCGATGATACAGAGCTGCTTGCCAGACCTCAGAAATCCTCTTTTTTTTTTAAACATATGCGAACTGCAGATTACCAGGGTAGATTAAGGCAGGATCTACAGTAAAAGTTCTGATCTGGAAAATGGTCCAGAGACTTGCATTGCATGGGTCCAGGAATCTGAGAATACGTCTGACCATTTATGGCTCCATTGGAACTGGGGTGGTGCAGAGGGAAAACAAACAAACAAAAAAGCCCCCAAAACGCCACACCAGTAGTGGCTTAAATATTTCATTTTGCTGGAAAAGCAGGAACCTAATACTGGAACCTAGTTAATCTTCAGAGAACCTTCACAGAAATTATTAAACAAAATAAAATTTGAGGTAACAATATGTATGGGGAAGATTTCATGTATAGCAAACATGCAGATTTCCATGTTGATTCAGTCAATAAAATGTGTAAGAAACATTCTTCAAACATATTCTGTTTGGGTTCTTCAGTGTAGCATTTCCTAGACACGGCCTGTCACTGGTGTTGACCCATCCTTATGACTGCCATCCTTTCTGAGAACAAGAGGGGAAGGGGTCCAGAGTTCCCTTTGGTTTCGTTAGACTGGAGAAGTACCTTTGGGGAACTATTCGTCATCTTTTATGCTTCCTTTGCCATTTCTATTTTGACAATAATCTATTGATAATTGGTCTTTTAAGGAGTGAGTTTTCATCTGACCTCTCACCCAGCTGACGATATTAGATACATTCCTGTCTAGCAGCAGCATCAGAAGTCTCATTAAAGCCAAGATATAGCATATCTACTGCTCCTTTATCCAGCTTAAGCCAGTTAACCTTCTATGTATAATTAGACAGTGGAACTCGGCCACTGGAGTGATTAAGAAGGGAGTTCAAGGGTAAATCAAGCAACTAGTTGGCTTGCAAACTATCCATATCCAATAGTTATTGCTAATAAGATTATAAAGCGTATAAGATCCTTTTTGTTTAAGAGAGTTTCTAACTATGACACTGTAGTTTGTGGTGGTAGATTCCAACATGTCTTTCTGTTTTTATTTGGCGGTTTGTTTTCACCTTCTGAAGCTTTATGACCTTGTGTCATCTGAGAGAGATACTGGACTGGGCCACAGATCAAGTCTGGGGTGGTAATTCCTTTGTCTCCCATCTGCCATCATGTGAATTCTTTCATTTCTGACAGAGTTCTTGAAGTATTCCTTGTCCTATCCTGCATACCATCACTATCGGACTGCATCTCTCTTCCTATGTAATTGAATTAACATAACTAATTAAATGTAATTATCCCCAGTTAAAATGAATTAGTTAATTTTGCTCTCATTTCATTGTTTTAAATGGAATTGAATAAGACTGTATGCTGTAAAGACATCTTCCGTCTAATGTGTTTCTGTTCTTTTAAAGAGTTCTCTGATCTCAATCTTTTTCTGGCATAACCTCAGTGAAATGTGAGTGTTCTTTAGTTTGTTTCTTATACATTACTCATGGGGCTTAATAGCTGGGGGATAGTTAATAGCCTAGCTCTGTGGAAATTTCTGCTGGCATGAGTAAAGAAGACACACAGGGGTGGGATCTTATTCAGTGACTTAAAGAAAGTCAAACAACTGTGAGAATAGGTAAGGAAATATTTCGCGTCTGTTTTCTCTCAGGTTTATGGCTGATACAAAGACAACAGAGGGTTGTTTCCTTTTGTCTGCCCCTCGCTCAGGGTGTGGTGCTAATACACCTACCTGATTTCATGACTGGCTACTGATGAAAGGGTTTTCTGCTCTTCTCCCTCTATTTTCATTCCTGCCTCCTGCCTTCTCAGCAGAGATACTCATCGGGACACGGCAATAGCGAGCTAAATTGGTAGAAGGCTTTACAAAGAGAAGCATATCGGTTTCTTTCTGTTTAGCTCTCTAACTTGGCTCAGGTTTGTGTCAAAAAAGCTGAAGGTGTGTAGGTGAGTGGCCGAGGTTGGGAAGGGGAAGGAAAGGGACTGCCATTTTCACCAGCAGCTGCCTCTTAATTGGTTTATCTCTGTAGTAAAGCTGAAGGGCACAACACTTTAAGCTGCATGGATAAATACTCCTTTCTGCACACTGTCCCTGTCCTTGTACAGCAGAAGTACTTGTGTGCAAGCTATAAGGTAATCAGGGTTAAAGTAGGAGAGATTATTTGCAGCCTGAATCAGGTTTCCCAATCTAGTGAGCTGTGCACCCGTGGTGATGCTGTGCCGGCAGACCAAAGAGGTCATGCAGGGTCAGTTTGTGGCCAGGGCTGGCCTCTTTTTGCTGAAGTGCTTACTGACTTGTGCTGGCTTGGTGGCCTCTAGGAAATAGAGAGGTAACCTCAGGATGAGTCCACAGAGGTGGGTGAGGGTTGCATCCCTGGGTGAGCTGCGTCTCTTCATTCTGACAGCAGTGAAGGGAATTTGGCTTGATGTTTGTCAGGTTCAATTTTGTACAGGGGCGTTTGGATCTATAACGGCAACAAACCTTTAAAATTTTAGTTAGCTGTGACTCTGTTTCATCTTTACTAAGGTACCACAAACAGCAAAAGCATTGGACTGGCAGCTCTAAAGCAAGGTTGGTCTACAGCTGTAAGATTTTGTAAATAATCACAAAGACCTGACAAGTTGGGATGAAATCTTAGCCATACCGGGAATCCTGTAGTTATGATTTAGAAGTTTAAGCTAAGGATTACTTTTTTAGATGGGATGCTGAAAATATGTAACTGTATTTGTTCACGGACAAGTTGTTTTGCCTGTGGTTTTGTTTGGTGATCCTTTAATTGGTTGAAATCTGTTTTTTGTGTACACGTACTCGTGAGCAAGTTGGGAATTTGTGAGCCTCACAGTATTTCTTATTGTGTAAATGTGAGGTGATGATTGCATTGTGTCATGCCTCAGTAATATGCCAAATGGATTAGGGTATTAGGGAGAGGATATAAAATACGAATATCACTAAAACAATACGTGGAAACTCTTACTTATGAGGATTCGTAAACATGCTGAGCAAGGTACTTGGCTTCTCTTACCTTTTACTGCTTTTGAAGCAAAAGAAATAAATGAATTGAACTAACTTCATTTGGTTTAATCTGAATTCAGGAATTTTATCTGCTGACTGGTAGAACAGATCCTGTTTATATTCATCCCCTGATGGTAACTGGTACAACAGAAGTGTTCTGAGGTGTTTTTTAATAACGCTGTTGAGTGGCTGTGTGGAGGAGACAGGAGGACTTTCCTGGAGATCCGGATCAGTCATTCTCTGGGGGGGGGACTGGTGGTAGGATAAAGGCTTGTTCAAAAGAATCGAAGTGGATGAGCTGGGCTTACAGGCCACTTACAAGAGTAGTTAATACGGTGCACAAGTTCATACTGTCAACAACAGTTGCATTTTGGGTAGTTCTGTGTCTGATGCAAGAATGTATGATTGGGAAAATAACTCTGATTTTCAGCTGGGAAGCAGCAGCTTCTGGTAGTTTACAATGCTTTTATTTCCTGCCGGGTTTTCTTCTTTGCTTTTAGAGGAAGAGGAACAAAAATCAATAGCAGAGGAATTCTACACTGCACAGACAGAAAAGCAGGCTGTCATATTTCATGTGGAAAATCCTATTAAAGAAACACCAAAGGAAACATCCAAATGGTCCATGTTTAGTGAATAGTAAAATGGGTAGAAAGGATCAGGCAGTGGTATTATATCCTCATTTTTTTTTTTTTATAAATTGGAGCTGCTCTACCAATATGCTGCAGCTGTATGCAGTCCTCAGTGATAATTCCTCATCCTGAGCCTGCTCCCGACCATTCTTCTTTCACTCAGAGCAGAATCTGTATCATACAATTGCTTTCATGGCAGCAAGAGATTCCTCTTGAGTATCCTCTTTCTATGTCTTTCTGTTTATAAGATTTTCAGTGAACAAATGTTGTACACTGTGCAAGCATCAAGCTGTGGGCTTTTGTGGGAAGTCAGACCTACAGACTGAACGTTGGTCTGCAGTGGATCTAATATGTGGTAATGTCCCTGACATTGGCCTGTAAGGCCAAGCCATACAGTTGTGCTTACCTATGGAAATAAGCTGTGCATCCCACTGCAAGAAAAGCTGGGCACTATAGGTACAGGGCATTCAGCTGAAATTCAGAAGACCCAGATTCCAAACTACTGAAAACGTGGTTCTTTGGTAGACTGCATGACGTGTGCATCTCAGTTATTTGTCAGATACCTGCCTTTTTTTACTCTTCATCTGTCTTGTTTGTTTTGGTGATAAAACCATTCTATTCTCTGTTTTCTGGACAGCAACTTGTATGATAGAACTGTGATGTCAGCCTGTAACCACTGTTGTAACATAAGTAGATAATCCATGGTGAGAAATAATGATAATAATATGCAAGAAGAGGAAAAATTCCAGTAAAAATGAAGTGTAACAGTAAGACAGCCAATATTGTCTACCCATGTGTTGGGGAAAATAAGGTTTCTGTATGTTAAGTTAATTACTTTCTTGTTAATATCTGGAATTCTAAAGGATGTCCTCATACAACGTCTGAGGGTTCATGTTGAGAAAGTGGTACAGATCTTTTTTTTCCTAAAGTTTTGTCAGTTGGTTCTGTAAGTGAATATTTGTTGCTTTTGCTGCAATGATATAATTCTATCTATCTTTTTTTTTTTTAAGGAAATGAGTTTTTAGCTGTCTGATAATAGCGATACACAATGCCTGATCAGGACAAAAAGTTGAAGAGCACAGAAAAAGCAACAGACAAAAAACCTCATGGGATCTTTATGAGGTATAGTATCTGACATCTTTCTTTGAACTTCAGCAGGACCCATGTGGAATTTGCACTAGCTGCCAAAGCAGAATGCTTTAATTTGAAATGCAGTATAAACATGACAACTGTTACTCTGGTCACAAAGTTTATTTACACCTTTGTTGATTTAAGGCATTCTGGAGAAGCTATAAATTCTTCTCAATGCAAAATGGGGACATTAGGCAACACTAGGAAACTTTATTTTCTTTCAGTAGCATTGCTGCTTGTTGACCTTCTTTACTCTTACAAAAGTACTTTTATGTAACTATTAACACATGCATTTATGCTATTGTGTTTTATCCTAGGGATTATTCTGCTCTTAAAAGACTTCAGTCTCTCTTAAGTGTTCAGTCAAGCAACCAACAGGTATTTTTCAATAACTATTAAACATGCTGTAGAAGTAATGGTGACTATGGTTTGTGGCAGATACTTAGGATATTGTGTTCGATTACAATTAAAAATGTTAGCAAAATCTTGTGTAGTGGATGTGGTGTCACTTTTTAAAAGCAATCTATTTTTTCTATTGTTGCGTATAGTCAAGTAGCCTAACAGATTTGTTTTCTTCCACGCCATTCCACAATGTCCTGAGAAGGCAGGCTTAGAGAGTATTGCTTACAACATGAGGAAGAGTGGTAAAGAATATAAAATAAAAAAAATCAGCATTTTAACCATAAGCAATTTGTCTCTGGAGAGTAACACTTCATCTAAAAATCTGCAGGGCATAAATATCAATGCATGAAACTTACAGGGCACAGTAAAATCTCCTTCACCTCAAGTCACTTGGTGAAGCTTGTGTTTGCTATTTGAAGCAAAGAAAACCATTGCATGATGATGAGTGCGAGTCCTTGGAATACCAGAACAATTTCTCCCTTTCTATTCTGTAAAATGATAGGACAAAATTACTTAGGGAATCATCCATGTGAGATAGGAGTCATGCATGCCCTTCCCGGATAGAGGCATGGAATTGCTTCTGAGCAGACAATTGAAACATCTGAGTTCCACAGATTCTTTCTAGAAAGAATATGAGGGCCAGGCAATTATAGAAGTGGGACATGTAAGGGGCATAGATAATGAGTGTGTGTTGCAGATTCTGCTGAGCTTTGCCATTATAAATTTTAAAAGACACTGTTCTTCAGTTTTTATATAACTCCATGTACTTGTTTTCCAGCCTTGCTTCACATCAGTTTTCTACCACATCAGTTTTGTTTGCGTGCTCTGTGTGTATATTTTAAAATGGCAAATTATAGGTCCAAAGTTTAAGTGAGAACTTGAGAAAAGGTACTTTTGCTTGATAATATTCTTATAAAACTTAAAATGCAGCGTTTGAATCATGAGTGCTATCCCTTTACTCCTTAGCTTCCAGCTATACATTTTGAAAATGGTCAAACCAGTGTGACAAGAGCTCAGCAAAATGTCAAAAGCAATGAACAAAAACCCCATGGTCAATGGCAAGAATCAACAGAAGCTGTTGAACTTGAAAACTTCAGGTAAAAAAAAAGCTAATATGACGACACTGTGTTGTATCTCTGAACATCTTTATCTTAAGCTTCTTGAGGTGTTGAAGGCATTTATATTTGTACTTATGTCTTTTACTTGTACTTTCATGTTAACCCACTATCAAGATATGAATTATATATTTTTAAATTTGTAAACCTAACTGTGAATGTTCCTGCCTTTCTAAGTTTCAGACACGTGCTCCCACTCAGCAGGGTGTACTGTTCAGAGTTAATATTGTCAATTTAAATAAAATAATGGTTTCTTTATTTGGGAAGCCTATATTATACCGTTATAATAGTCCCAAATTATGCATGAGACAGACTGTTCTTCCATGCTGTTAATGTCCGGAAATCTGAAGTTGAGTTATTCCATTGTAACTCCTGATATGGCATTTCTTAATTTTTCCTGCTAGTGTGGAGTGTTGGCAATCTAAAATGATGTTGAGGCAAGATAATAAGCAACTCCGCCTTTTTTCTTTTTTTTTTTTTCCTTATTAGTGTGACCTACAAGAATGAGAGAAATTTTAGCAAACATCCCAAACATAAGCTGTTTCAAGAGATCTTTACAGCTTTAGTTAAGAACAGACTTACCTGCAGGTCAGTATATTGAACACATTCATATCCACGGAGGGTCATGCTTAAGCCTTAAGGACCCTGCCTTAAGCAAAGAACCAAGATGCATGGATAATGGTTCGTGTTGTTTCAACAGTATATGTGGCATATATGTTTCAACAATAGACCTCTGTGTGGAAACTACCAGTTTCACATCTCTGCATAATCTCAGTTTTAAACAATCACTTCTGTGTTGGCTTTGAAGACCGAATGCTTGGGTTAGTGGGACGGAAAAAAAAAAGGCCTGGGCATATGACAAAATTTGGATGACTGACATTCTAATATCTGCTATGTTTCCTTGATCATTTGTTCATATCTGGTGTCTGTAACCTATGGTTTGTTTTTCTAATTTCATTTTTATTTTACTGATTTTACTTGTATTTTATGGACTGCTGTGTATATATAGAAAGGTCAGTGGCTTTCATAAACTTCAGATGAGTTTATGCTATTGTTCATATTTATTTGTATTCACGTGTATAACAGGATTTAAAAGGGAAGACCCTTTCTTACGCTGCTCTCATTTGAAGGAAGAAGAATTGCAAGACCTTAAAAAAATTGGGGGGATAGAAAAAGATACTTTGTGTTTTTCAGGATTTCTATTACTATACACTACTGCAGCCTGTGTATTTTTCCTTTTTAAAGCCCAAGTGCATTTTCTGAAAAATCTTAAGTGGTAGAGAAGCTTAAAGAAAGAATCCTAGAGCGTTTAAAGGTATAAATATGAAACTGCTAGAAATTACAGAAGTATCTAAAAACCACCAAAAAATCACATAGTTTGCTTAGACCCTTTTTCAGAACTAACTAGGGATCTCATCTTTGATTATCTAAATAGTAGTGAGTTTAAGACAGATCATTTAAGTGATTTGTAAATCTGGTACCTCTTTTTTTTGCAAGTGAACTTTATCACTCAGTATTCACCAGTGGGATGTCAGTGGCTTAGCTTAATTTGCCAGAAATCTAAGAATAACTTGTGTTGTGTCTTCTCAAGTTCTATTTATACGTTGTGCCATACCTAGCTCATATTTTGGGTTTTCTTTTTCTTCGGTATTTGTTGTTGATGATGATATAGGAAATGCAGCCTTGTGTTATAAATGAAAGCACCCAGATAAGGTTATTGAAACAAGCATATAATATATTGGTAGGTATGTAAAACCCATAATGTAAGTGGAGTTAGAAAGGTGGTTTTGTTGCCCTTTATAAATATTTTGCTATGGCTGTGATGGTGTCCTCTCTTTGGAACTACTTCCATTGCATTGTGTCAGAGCCTTAGAAACTGTCGCCCTCATCAGCATTATGTACTTTTGCTGGCATAACTATGTTGATTGGGGTGCAAGAAAAAATCACACCCACTTACTGGCATCGCTGTGTCGGCAGAAGTCCTGGTTGGAGGTTGTTCTCTTGATAAGAAAGCTATGATCAGCTTAGTTTAAGTGGTTTGGATAAGGAGTATAACTAAGCAGGCTGAAAAAATCCTGCTGGCACATGCTGGATATACCCTGGGGTATCTAGTAACGTCTATTGTAAATGTAACTATAATAGAAGAGTCTCTCAAATGTTAACCAGGTTCAGAGAGTTACTGTCGCTGCTTGGAAATGTGACTGACCCATGCGATGCTCCATTAGAGAAACTGACTTCTGTCAAGAGTCAAAGCTTTCTGAAAGAATAACATTATAGAACCAGCATGGTAATGATCTTCAGACCACTTTAAAATCTGACCTACAAATTTTGCCTGCCGGTATATGGTTGCTGTTTTCTTTCTGTGAAAGTTTTGTGCCGTTCTGAAGTGGCCAATTATGGAAGCATAATGAAAAATAGTATTACTTTGGGCAGAATATTGGCAGAGAAGGGCTGAGATTTTGTTAGTATCTATTTGTAAAACATTTATTTTTATCAAAATATTTTTAGCCATTGGCTTCTTTCCCAACTGCAAATGATAAAAAGGGAAGAGAACTGCCACGTCTCATAGACTTCTTCCGTTCCTTGGAAAATTGCCCAGATATTACAGATTCTGTACTCTCAGTTAAAGGAACAACAACAAAAAAACACTGCAAAGATGTCCAATTTTAGGTTTATTTTAAATAGGAAAATGGTAATATATACCTTCAACAGACAATGGAAATAATGATTCCATTACTGGTATTTTATGCAGGATTACTGCCCCTGGATGCTTTGTGCAAATCTGAGTTTTGTTTTCTGCCAAGTCTTGTGCTGGGGAATTGTATGGAGAGATATAAAAGAGGAAGTTCTGTTTGGAAGTATAATCCTAGATCAAAAAGATTTAAACTAAATAACAAATTATTCCAAGGACTATTGGTATTAGAGTTTTTAAAGTCCAGGATAGATTATGATCATTCAAAAAATTATTTCAAATCTAGCTATTTTTACTTCTGTAGCACCCATGTGTCTTTTTAATATTGTTATGTAAGTGTATTTTGTGCACTGAAGTTTGATATGTGGTTTCTCAGTGATTTTGCCCTTTTGGGCCTTGATCCAAACACTTAAAGTAAGTTTATATCAAAGCATGATCAGTTTGGGCTTAGCGATAAGCATGTACTCTCCTGCATCGCTTCAGTGATAATAAGTGATGGCTGGCAATGTTCATGTAGTGAAATACATTTATTTATTTAAAGCTGTTACTGTGTTTGAATATAAACGGTATTAGAAGTTCTGCAGTACAGTATGTTGTTCAGCTGTTGTAAGTCACTAATCTTTTAGTCAATTGACTCCTGAATCAAAGCGTTTTATCTAAATGTTTTAACACTTTTTTATTGTATTTGATTTACGTTTTGAATATTTTTTTTTTCCAGGGAGTGGGTTAATCAAGCTCCGTCCATCCATTTTCTTAGAGTATTAATCTGCCTGAGATTACTGATAAGGGATCCATGCTACCAGGTCAGTATGTCAAAATACTGTTTCTTGCTTGGATAAGAGAATGCATATAATTGTAATGCATATGAGTTGTGTTGGTGCGTGTTTATAAAAATGTGCACTCTTATGGATGCATACTTATTGTGCGTATGTACATATATTTCTATATGTGAAGATATGATGTGCAAACAGATTCCAAGAGTGAATTTGCAATGCTACTGCATAACTTGCTTAATTTCTGATATTTCTCATGTAGCGTCTGTTGTTACTAACCCTAACAAAGAACCTGGAAATCTCCATAACAGATGGCTTGGTCATTGCTCTGAGACCCTATACTTGACTTTACCATAGAGATATGTAAAATTCCCATTATGTAGTAAGTGAAGAAAACCGAAAGCTGCCTATTCCTCCCAGCAGCCCAATGCTCTGAACTACAGACAACTAGCTTTTAATTTTATTTTGGCTATTACAGTTGTTATTGGACTAAGCCTGAGACATTTGTTAAGATAATTGTTTTTGTGTATTTTTTTCTATATGTCCCAAAGCTTATACTGTTTTTCCAGTTTTAGAATGTTTAAAATTTCACTTCTGTGTTTTTATTTATATACTTACTATAAGTAATTCTGAACTACGAATGTGCTAAGCATCTCCAGAATCCGTTGACTACGACCGCTGGAGTTGAGGTTTCTCAACATTCCTAACAAACAGAACATTAGTATTCTAGTATTCTCTCATTCTAGTGTTTTCTGTACTTTAACTCAATTTTTAAATTTTTTTTATTTTCTTTTAGGAAATGCTCCACAGCTCGGGTGGGATTGAGAATCTAGCTCAGGTAGAATTCCTCATAGTACCTTTGTCCATTAAGTTGCAGTTTATTATGATTAGAATGAAATACACTGTAAAAAGTAGAGTGCGTATATTCTGGGTTTATGGAAAGAACTGAGCCTATTCCTCTGTTTGCACATAAACAGTTGGTGTGTTTTTTTTTTCACTAGTGCACAAAGCAGCTCTCCTTATAATCTACCAGCATTTAACCCAGGGCTTTTAGTTAGGAGGCTTAACGAATACCTCTTGAAGTGGGAGAAGGATTAGAAAAGTCTGCACAATCGGTTCAGTCAAAAGAAACCCCAGACTTTTGAAGGCAGATGAGTAGAGTCACCTTGAACTGTAGCAAATGACTTTTCAAAGGCAAAAGCTTAGTGATAGAATGTTGAACAGTTTTAAATTTGGGGACTACAGTGCTTTTGCATTACAAAATATTATTGGTAACTGACTGCTGTATTGTTACTGCTCTGTGTTAATACTGCTTTACTCCTGGGTTTTTAATGCTTCTTTGTCTGTAACAATTTAGCAGTGGTACATGACATATCTTGAATATCTTTGATATTGCTGGGAGCTTTCTTTCAAGAAAAAAAATTAGAATTTTTATAACAAATGTATCTTTCTAGGATGCGGTTACCATTCATTAATATTTATGGAACCACCTATATTTCAAAGAACCACTAGTGTGCTATAAGCCCTTTGGTCAGACAATCACCTGTTTGAAACATCCCTAAAGTTGCAGGAGCTAAAGATTATTAGTTTCTAATGGATATGGTTCCCACAGAACTGCTCGGTGTTTTCTGATGTCGCATGTAATGCTTAGCCCTACTTTTTGAGGAGTTTGCACAGTGCAAAATGCAATGGCCTGCTGAGACGTTGGCAACATCTGCAAGTGGAATCTTCTGCAGCAGGAA